AACAATGAGTATCAACAAGACAGTGAATGGCCTGTAAGTGAGAAAAAGAACGTGTCACTGTGTTCCCAGTACCATCTAGGAAACACAGACCCTTTTCTAGAAGGTACAACACAGAAATGTGCCCTGTAATAACAATATAGTACACTTCTCTAGCATTCAATTTATAAAGAAGGTGGTGAAGAACTTAGGCTTTGGAAGCAGATGCAACTGAGGTGGAGTCCAGGCTGCTCCACTAAGCTTATGTCACTTTAGGTTAGGCAGGGCAACTAACCTTTTTTTTTCTTTAATTTTTTGGCTGTGCAACATGGCATGCAGAATCTTAATTCCCCCATCAGGGATTGAGCCCACACCTGTTGCAGTGGAAGCACAGTTGTAACCACTGGACTGCCAGGAAGTCCCAACTAATCTTTCTAAACCTTAGTTAACTGGGCTTCCCAGGTGGCACAGTGGTAAAGAATGCCAATACAGGAGATGCAGGACACGTGGGTTCGATCCAGGACGATTTCCTGGAGAAGGGAATGGCAACCCACTCCAGTATTCTTGCCTAGGAAATCCCATGGACAGAGGAGCCTGGAGGGCTACAGCCCACGGGGCTGCAAAGAGTCGGACATGACCGACCATGCACGCACCCATGCATATAACCAGTCTTAGGGCTTCCCTGGGGGCTCAGTGGTAAAGAACCCTCTTGTCAATGCAGGAAACACAGGTTCAGTCCCTGAGTCAGGAAGATCCCCTGGAGAAGGAAATGGCAACCCACTCCAGTATTCTTGCCTAGAGAATTCCCATGGACAGAGGAGCCTGGAGGGGTACAGTCCATGAAGTCAGAGTCAGACACAACTTAGTGACTAAACAACATGAGTGGTCTTATAAAGTGGGACAAATAATAGTCACGACCTTAGATGAAAATCAGATGAGACTATGCATGATAAACTCAGTCTCGTGCCTGCCTCGTAAGATCTGATAACTATTAGATATTAATTTTTATTTTTATACTTTGTTATTGCTTATTTCAACCTTCCTATAAGGCAGTCGGTATACCACAGTGAAAGACAGCACAGGCTCTGGAGCCAGGCTAGAAATCCTAGTCAATGATGTGAACTTGGTTATTTAACCTCATGCTGTGCTGTGCTTAGTCGCTCAGTCGTATCTGACTCTTTGCAACCCCATGGACTGTAGCCCACCAGGCTCCTCTGTCCATGAGGATTCACCAGGCAAGAATACTGGAGTGGGTTGCCATGCCCTTCTCCAGGGAATCTTCCCAACCCAGGGTTCGAACCTAGGTCTCCCGCACTACGGGCAGATTCTTTACCAACTGAGCCACCAAAGAAGCCCCATTTAACCTCATAGCAAGGTTCAATTTATAAAAACAGTATTTACCTCAAGGTGTCTAAGGATTAAATGAAGTATGTACGTGGACTACTTATCAAATGCTGGCTGCAAAGAAAATGATTAGTACACACTAGCAATTATTATTAACACTATTGACTTAAGGGGAAGACAGAGGCCTGCAGAGTGTTAAGACCTGCTCCAGAGAGTTTATTAACTATCATTTATGCTCAACCTAATTCCTTCTTCTGTAATTTGAGACTCAAAAAACAATCTATTAATATGGCTGCTAGAAAAAAATATATACCCTCGAAGAAAGGAAAATGAGCTGGACAGTGGTAATGAGAGAACAGAAAAATTCCAGTTATGAGAAGAGTAGAGCCTGGCTGTAGTGAACTCACTGACTCTGTTATAAATATGGATTTGCCTAACACTGAAGAAGGTAAAGAGCACTAGGCTGATCAGGCCCTGATCAGCCCAATCTGAGCTGAACATCAAGCTTCCTGAACTGGTGGTTTGAGAGACAGCCTCCTTACCCAAGTAACCTGCCCAGCCCACGCCATGTCTGCATGACTAACCCACACAGGCAAGTTACTAAACCATGCAGGGTAGAGAAAATGGATATGAGAAAACTTGCCAGGCAAAAAGCAGGAAGTCAGTGGCTATGCAGTGTGGGAGGAATACAAATCACTCTGTACTAGGAGGCGAGATCAGAGTTCCAGTCCCAGGCATGAAGGCATATTAAATCTGCTTACTAAATAGCTTCTTTTCTTTTTTGCACAAATATTTGCAAATGCACAAAATGTTAACTATAAAGCATTAAGAATATAATGAACAACTATAGAATCATCCAAGAATCAGAAAGTTACCAGTAACTTGCATCTACTCATATATCCCTCATCTACTTATATCTCATCTTCCTGCCCAGCCCCATGCTGCCAACTTAACCTGTACCTTCACTTTTTCCACTAATAGCTAATTTTCGATCCACATATTAACTGACCCCCACACTGCTTGATACTGTTGCTCCCACCCCACCTGCGCCGATGAACACCTTCTTTACTTGGTCTCTGTAATAATGGCAGCCCTTTTGTTTCAACCTTTCTGGTTGTTCATTCTCTTTTTCCCTTAAGGCTCCTTTCCCTCTACCCAGCCAGTTTTCCCCAAACTCCATCCAAGGCCTTCTCTTCTTCTCACTCTACAATCTCCTTAGATTCCTTAGGCCCTCTCTTTGGGTCAGTTACCCCAGTCCCCATCCCTCCTCTCTACTGTAGACCTGCCATCTATGCTCAACAACTACAGGGTATCCTAGACCAAACTCCTGACCTTCTTCCTCAAACGGCATCCTCTCAGGGTTCTCAGTGAAGGGCACCACTGCCCTCTGCTGCATAAGTCAAAGTCACCCATAACACCCACCTGGAGCCGCCCTTGACACACCCTTTTCCCAGAGTCAGCCCACCAAGTCTTCTCGATTTGATCTGCTGCATTACTCGCGATGCACTCTGGTCTAGTTCACCATCACCACCATAATCTAAGCTCCCTTCCAAGTATTCTCTACTTGAATTATTCCCAACAGTATTTGTGCAACTAACAAGCTCCTCCCTCACACTACTGCCTCTTTCCCCAGCTATTGCTTATCCTCCCACCCCCTGGTAGGTCACTTATCATTCATTTCCTCTGAAGAGCCTTCCATACCAGGTCCACTCCTCTTAAGTATAAATTCTTACTGAACCACGCACCAATGTCTTTATCACACTTATCATCAATATAATTTTATGCTGACTTGTATGATCTTGATAATGTTTGCTTCCCTTGCCAGAGCTCCATAAAAACAGGAAATATGTTTTTTTATTCTTACCACTGTATCCTCTATATACAGCAATGTGCCTGGCCTTTAGTAGGCACTTAAAAAATATCTGTTTAAAGAATGAATGATTGATTGAATGAATAAATTATATAGCACAGAAAGATCATTCAGCTATTGGGGAGATGAGGGATTCATAAAATAGCCTTAAAAACTGTATCTTTTTCTTCTTATATAATTTCATTCTCACTGAGAAACGTCTTCATTTTTTATTTAATTTCCCAGGAAAATAAAACTATATCCAAGAGGGGAGTCAAAAAAATTCCTGGGTCCCAAGACCCCATATGTCAGGACAAAAACTCTGGAATCAAGACAGTTTTTGATAGAAGTCCCAGCGCTGGCACTTGTTAGCAGAATGACCTTGGGAAAGTCATTTCAATGTGAGCTCAGTTTTCTCATCTACAAAATGGAGAAAAGACTCAAATCCCTTACACTTAAGAATATTAATTTAATAAAATACAAAGCATAACATATTACCCAGGGTTTGTGGGGTTTTTTCTACTTTATTTTACTATTGCTGTTGTTAGTTTACTAATATTAGTACCAAAGGTTACACTCATAACAGAGACTGAGCAGACAGACGGCTTCCAAAGTCTCTCCCGGCTCTAAAAATCCCACCATATGGGAATGCAAATTAGTACAGCCACTATGGAAAACAGTGTGGAGATTTCTTAAAAAGCTGGAAATAGAACTGCCATATGACCCAGCAATCCCACTTCTGGGCATACACACCAAGGAAACCAGATCTGAAAGAGACACGTGCACCCCAATGTTCATCGCAGCACTGTTTATAATAGCCAGGACATGGAAGCAACCCAGATGCCCATCAGCAGACGAATGGATGAGGAAGCTGTGGTACATATACACCATGGAATATTACTCAGCCATTAAAAAGAATTCATTTGAATCAGTTCTAATGAGATGGATGAAACTGGAGCCCATTATACAGAGCGAAGTAAGCCAGAAAGATAAAGACCATTACAGTATACTAACACATATATATGGACTTTAGAAAGATGGTAACGATAACCCTATATGCAAAACAGAAAAAGAGACTCAGATGTATAGAACAGACGTGTGGACTCTGGGAGAAGGCGAGGGTGGGATGTTTCAAGAGAACAGCATTGAAACATGTATACTATCTAGGGTGAAACAGATAACCAGCCCAGGTTGGGTACATGAGACAAGTGCTCGGGCCTGGTGCACTGGGAAGACCCAGAGGGATCGGGTGGAGAGGGAGGTGGGAGGGGGGACTGGGATGGGGAATACATGTAAATCCATGGCTAATTTATTTCAATGTATAACAAAAACTACTGTAATGATGTAAAGTAATTAGCCTCCAACTAATAAAAATAAATGGAAAAAATAAAATAAAATAAGCTAAAAATCCCACCATGTTGTCAATGATGAACAACATTCTTTTTGAAAAATACCTGAATCTTGCATGAACTGTGAAATGACGGGCCTAAAGGACAATACCCCCCAAAAGCTGCATTCCTGAAAAATCATTCCTAGAAAAACTCTGCCAAAGGGCCAGGAGGGCATCATGTTTATTGCATGCCACAGTGTTGCTACCCTGCTATGCCATTTTTCTGGAACTTCTTGGTATGTGGCGAACACAGAGAAATTCTAAAGCAGGCTATAAGAAGTCATTCTGAAATTCTAAGTGAGGGGAATCACCCTCACCTGAATCTTTCCACATACATTCCTGATTTGACTTCCGACCCATGTACATGACTTAGGAGGGATTTTATGGTTTGGTGCGTGCCTGCTTTCCCTATCAGTCACCATGCTGAACAACTGTGGGTACCTGGGATCCAGCAGGCCTTGTTCCACTCCCCAGGCCATCTCTCTTACAGCACTGCTGATCTCATGACGGGATGTGTAAGCAAAACAAATGTTCAGGAAACACCTGAGAAGGGAAGAACAGAATAATTTACCAAGAGGGACAGGGAGTAAGAAGCAGAGTCCCTGATTACAGAGCACCCCTTCTGTGGTAGAACACACATCAGAGGTTAACCATGGATACCTCTGAAAGGCGAGATTATTAGTTTTTTGAGTTTTCCTATTTTCCTTGGGAAAAAATACATTAGTTTTGTAATAAGAAAAATACTAACTGATCCTTATTATTCACTTAATCTTCTTGCCTTCTGCTAGCACCTGGCTTTCAGAGGATGTGAATTCATTGTGATTATTAGAACAAGTAGAGAAGAATAGGAAGGAAATCTGATGTGAAACAAATCCACTGCCAAATATACATTACATTGCAAAGCCACACATAATGAAGTTTGGATTATTAAACTCTGTTCGCATCTGCAGCAGCATGTCCTCCTCAGGTCATCCCATCTATTGGTTAAAGCAGTGGGACAGAAAGAGAATTTCTTGAGGGATCTGTCTTCAGAGACAGGGATAAGGTCTGATACATTCCTACCCCATCCTCTGTCAATTAAAAAATACCCAAAACCACAAACATATATATTTAAACATGTATATATATATATACACACATTAATGTATGTAAATAGGTGCATATATACATATATACACACACAAATATATATGTATTTACATACTTAAATATGTGTGTGTGTATATATATATGTATATATATAGGAGGGGGCAAGGCCCATGAAGGATGAAGATAAGAAACTGCATGTGTGAACATACACACATGCAACAAGGTACTGCAGAAACATCTCCTTCTGCCCTACAGCTGAAGGAAGAAGCTTCTAAGCATCCAAAACCAACTCCTTATCGCCTCTTGTACCAAATGCAGGCCACGAGAGGCCCAGGAAGCCTCCCTCCAGTCAGACGGAGTCAAAGGTTGACAGAGGCCCCTAAAGGAAAATCCGAAGACTTACTTGTTGTAGTTCCTGGTGGTCTGCACAGCCTGTGCGACCAGCTCCTGGAGATCCAAGGGCAACAAATGCAGATCACCCAGGACCCGGATACACACCCCATGCTTCTGCAGTTTCTCCCTGATCGGGGGGAAAGGAGGCAGGTTTGGGAGTTGGGAGAGAGCACCTGCTGAGCCGGAGAGAGCAAAGTGCTTAGATAATATTCAATTACCAGTGTGAGTGCTTTCCTGTGTGTCAGGCACCATACTGCATGTATTATTTCACTGCATGCCTTCAACGGCTGTGAAAGGAATTTAGCACATTCCCTGTTCTACAGCGGGAAACGAGGCTCAGGCAGAATAGGGTGAGGCTCAGATAGGGATTGCCCAAGGTCAAACAACCATCAAGAGCTGTGTCAGGTCTGAAACCTAGGTCTGTCTGATTTGAAAACCCAAACTTCTTTACCACATATTACACTGCCTCACATGTCCCTGTTGGCAAGCTGCATCACACGGATTCTATGCTATCTGTCCCATTTTGACAGGCGAACAAACTCAATGGCAGGAGTTGTATTACTGGTTACTTTTGTTAACTTCTTGTGAATTGTAAGTATAGCAACATCTAACATTAATTATATGTTTGTTAATTGCCAGACATTGGTCTGGTCTTCCCTGATGGCTCAGTTGGTAAAGAATCCGCCTGCAATGCAGGAGACCCCGGTTTGATTCCTGGGCCAGGAAGATCCACTGGAGAAGGGATAGGCTACCCACTCCAGGATTCTTGGGCTTCCCTTGTGACTCAGGTGGTAAAGAAACCACCCGCAATGTGGAAATCTGGGTTCAATCCCTGGGTTGGGAAGATCCCCTGGAGAAGGGAAAAGATACCCACTCCGGTGTTCTGGCCTGGAGAATACCATAGACTGTATAGTCCATGGGGTTGCAAAGAGTCGGACACCATTGAGGAACTTTCACTTTCACTTTTTCAGACATTGGTCTAAGTGTTTTACACACATTAAGTGTTTTACACGCATTCCATTTTTACATCTACCTTTGAGGCAGACACCATTACCATTCCCCTTTTACAGATGAAGAAACTGAGGCCCAGGGAGGTGAATTTGTTCAAGATCTGACAGTTGGTGAGTAGAAAGTCAGATACGGAATCAAGGCAGTCTGGTTCAAGGGCCTGTTTTTTAAATCACAACATTACACTGCCTCCATATAGTAACTCCCAAACAGCAGAGTGAGCATGAACTCACTGTTCCCTAGTCAGCTTCTTGAACTTGGGAATGCTAAGGAGAAACAGAATGACTAATGTTTGGAAAACAGGAGCTCCGTAACAAGAAGTATACTGTGGGGCAAGGGTATCTGGCAGGTTCTGGAGAACCCTGATCCAGAGTTGAAGGCTGTACCCACAGCCTTTCCACCCTGCAACCCTCAACCACATTTCTTCCAAGAGTGAGCAAGATCTAATCACCTAGTTTTGAGAACCCACTTCAGCGCTAGTAGACAAATGTATACTCAAAATCAAGGCAATATTTGAATAAGAATACCTAGATTTGGGAATTCCTTGGCAGTCCAGTTTTTAGGACTCTGTGCTTCCACTGCAGAGGGCACAGGTTCAATCCCTGGTCAGGGAACTAAGATCCCACATGCCCTGGGATGCGGCCAAAAAAGAGAAAGAATACCTAGATTCAAGCCCTAGAGCTACTGCTTACTATCTGACCTAGCATAACTGCTAAGCCTCGCCGAGCCTCTTACCTTGTAAACTGCGGGTGCTAACCATCTCTGCCATTCTGGGAAAGTGCCACACTGTGAGAGCACACATGGCCTGAAGCAGGTCTACAGGGAAGGAGCTGTGAAAGTGCTAGCAAGGAGCCAGGGGTCTGGGTTCCCAGCCTGGTTCTGCCACTAGTTTGCTGTGTGACCATGGGCAAACCTTTCTCTTCTTTCCACAAGGGTTAGTTTCCCAACTGATGAAACCAAACTAGACCAGTGGTTTTCCAAACTTCTTTTAGCCAAACAACTCTTTCTTTGAATCAAATCTGTAACAGATGTCCAATATATAAGACAGATAAACATAAAGCAGCACTGTTCCTTCTGCGTCCTTGCAAGCACACCCGTCACAACACTGGGGTTCTGTGGCACACTACAGGAAAACCACCACTAAGGTTTCTTATTGCTGTATCCAGGACTTCATAACCTAAGACCATGTCTTCTACTACTGACTAATTAGAACAATCTCAGGAGCACCTTTTAAGAACTGTAAGATTACCTCCTGTCTCTTGGAGTGCAGTATAGTAGATAACAGCTTAGCTCCAGAGTCAGAAAGATTCTGTGTGTTCTGGCTCTGTCTGTCTGATAGCTGCGCAACCCAAGATACACACCTAAACGTCGCTGGTTTTTACTTTCTTCCTGTCTAAAACTGGGATAATAATACCTTTCTCACAGGATAATGTGAATATTAAATGAGAATCCATATCAGGCTCAGGGCCTGACACATAGTATAAACACTTTAAAAAGGCAAGATTAGTGTGAAATACAGAAGAATCTGAACACCTGGAATGCGTCCCCATTACCTCTGTCCCCAGTCCCTTGGGTGTGACTTCTGAGCCCCAAAGGAGGCAGTAATGTCTGTGGCCCAGAGTCTCACCATCTTAACGTGGACAGAGAAGCCTGGCTACTCTCCCCTCCCCCAGACCCACACAGGGACAGAAGTGACAGAAATGTCCTAGGCCCAGCTCTGCTAGAGCTCTAAGCATTCTGTTCTCTCATCTGCCTGGTCCTGGAGTAAGGAGGAGCTGGGCGGAGAATGGTTGTAATGAAGACTTTGGGGCAGTCCAGGCTGGAGAGAGATGCACACTTTGAAGCAATTAATTCCCACCAAACATCCTCTTTGTCCTGTTCTGGCTTTGCTCCCCAAGTTAAGGCTTAAATATAGTGACAGATAAGACTAGTACCGACTCATCCCCATAAAGGCCTTTTGTGCATCATCCAGTCCCTTCCAAGGGAATATACAGGGAAGTGTAGTAGCTTTTTAGGGATGACTGCACCACAGAAAATGACTTTTTCAAAGTTTCTCTTACTCTACTCCCCTGGTCACAGCTTACTGGTCCCGGGATAGAAATCTGATCTAAGGTGGGCTGCTTAGAACTAGAACCAATTAGGGTTTTAGTTCATTCTGGGCTACGCTCTTGAAGCAGACAAAGCTGGTCTGTGGAGCAAAAGAAGTAAATGCCCAAGGAGGCATTTAGAATCCATTATCTACTGGATTTCACTTCTTAACTTCAGTTTTACCTGAGGCTGGCCATACTTGTCCTTGAATTCTATGAAACACCTCTGTACCCTGAAATAAATGTTTCCTTTGAAAAAAAAAAGAAAAACTAGCTTGTCATACTTGCCACTGAGGAGGTCTTATTAATGGCAGAAAGATTTAGAGTTCCTTAACTAGCCCCAGAAAAGAGAGCTGAGGGTTAGGATAAGGCTGGAGGCGGTGGAAGGACACACGTGCCCCTCTGATAGCATCTTACTGTTCTTCCATCAGGCGGCTAAACTTCTCCCGGGCCAGATCCATTAGCCCGTCTACTTCACTCTTGGAGCGTTTGAAGTTCTCGATGCTGAACGCATAGACCGTCACCTCCAGGATGCCCAAATTCAAACACCAACGCAGAGTCTGAGGGGGAGAAGGCAAGGAGCTAGGATACAAGGAAGAGCAGGAAGGGAAACAGGACATGCCTTAGCCCCGACTCAGTGCTGAAGTGGGAGACAGACATTTTTCCTTCCCACTCTGGGTAAAGCTAGGTTAATACCAATGCTTCTCTCAGAATAATGAACCAAATAAGCAGAAAGCCACCACTTGAGAGACTGAAAAATGCAAACTTAATGAGTATTATTATGCTGATGCTACTGTGGTTTCCTGGAAAGAACTCTTTGCTGAGAGAGTGAAGTTCTAGGTCCTAGCCCCTAACTCCATCATGCACTTGCTATGTGACTGCTGGCATTTCACTGAAGTCTCAGGGCCTAAATCCCCTTATCTGTGAAACAGCATCACAATCCATCCCTCACCAGGTGGCTAAAGGTATATAAGAACACAGGTATTACTGCCCACAACATCATTATTTCAGAAGACTGAGAGGCTGATGAGTTACAAGACAAGCAACAACTGCACAACCGTGCAGCATTTAAGTCTCCAAAGCGTTTTCACAGACATTAATTCACTTGATTCTTCAAGCAACCCTTTGAGAAAGGCATTACTGTTTTCATGCCTACTTTACAGACAGTAAAACGGAGGCTCGGAAAATGAAGAAATATATCAAAAGTCCACAGCTCTACTGTATGAATCCATTATGTGAGGTTCTAGAACAGCAAAAACTCATCTGGAGTGACAGAAATCGGAAGAGTGGTTGCCTGCAGAGCGGAAGAGGAGGTAGCACAGGGTTTCACGGGGAGGGGGCACAAAGGAACCTTCTAGAAAGATGGAAATGTTCTGTATCTTGATAGGGGTGTGGAATAGACTCATGAGTGCAATTGTCAAAACCCCAAATTTGTGCATCTCCCTGTATGAAATTACACCTCAAAGAAAAGAGAAGTAAAACTCAAATTTAAACTCAGTCTTCTGGTATTTCTCGAATCCAGTGACACTAAAGGTGGAGAACAAACTGGAGCTGTTGAGATAGGGCCTAGAGGCTAAAGGCAAGGGACAGAAGACATTCAAACAGAACTGAAGAAATAAAGCTGAAGAACCACCTTTCCAATTTGCTATCAGACACACAAACACATTAACTGCCACCTGAAGAAAATTACCAGCGCAAACCTGAAACCTGAATAGGCTTGGGCCCTGAAGACCTTACCAGGCAGCAAACTTAGTGGGTACCTCTGGGTCGGGGCCCACCACTGACCTCAGTCAGTAAAGACGCTAATAACAGCTTCAATTTTTGAGCACTTCCACATGCCTTTTCCACGTGCCACATGCTTTTCATTGCCCCATATCATTTAATCCTTATGTTATTTCCCCATATTATAGATGGAGGAACTGAGGCAAAGGGAAGCTATGTAACTTAAAGCAGGTCACAGAGCCAGAAGTGGCAGAGCAGGAGTGCCGTGAATTCTGAGTGACCACAGAGGTTAACCTCCTAAGCACTAGGGCAAAACCACCTCTAGTCACAAAAGAGAAACTGAGGTCAACAGACCCGAAAACCTCCACAATGTTGGAGAGAACTCCACAACCGCTCATTCAAGGCAAAAAGTATCAGTGTGCTGGCTTCACGCTATGTTCTTGTGCCAGGAAGCTGAGATCCGCGGGCCAGAATTTCACAAAAATCAACACAGTCCATTGTTATCGTTAAATTTAATGTTTCCCAATTTGCAATAGGCATTAAAACCATAAAATGCCAATAACCTTTGTTGGAGTCATGTCCTTGTTTGTCTGGTACTTTTCCTACTTTAAGCATTTAAAGGCCCGTGTCCTGAAAAACACCTCAATCTCAGGATGGGTGGTCACCCCTACTTTTGCTCTGGAAATGTCACTTCTGAGAATTTATTCTAAACTAGTGCCATTTATGAAAGTGAAAAGCAAAAGTGTTAGCTGCTCAGTTGTGTCCAACTGTTTGTGATCCCATGGACTGTAGCCCACCAGGCTCCTCTGTCCATGGGATTCTCCAGGCAAGAATACTGGGGACATTCCCTTCTCTAGTGGATCTTCCTGATCCAGGTATCAAACCCGAGTCTCCTGAATCGCAGGTGGATTCTTTATCATCAGAGCCACCAGGGAAGCCCAGTACCATTTATAATGTCCAATAACAGTGGGGCAGCTGAACAAACCATGTCGGATCCTCAGGATAAAATGTTCCACAGTCATTAAAACATACAGGAAGAAAGGCTATATATGAACCTAGAAAAATAATTGCCCAAATGTCAAGAAAAAACAAGGTTATCAAAGCTATAGATAAAATATAGACCAAGGGAACAAGATAGAAAGTCCAGAGATAAACCCACACACCTATGGGCACCTTATCTTTGACAAAGAAGGCAAGAATATACAATGAGGAAAAGACCAGTCTCTTCAATAAGTGGTGTTGGGAGAACTGGACAACTACATGTAAAAGCATAAACTCAAAATGAATTAAAGACCTAAATGTAAGACCAGAAACTATAAAATTCCTAGAGGAAAACATAAGCAGAACACTGTATGATATAAATCACAGCAAGATCCTCTATAACCCACCTCTTAGAATAATGGAAATAAAAACAAAAATAAACAAGTGGGACCTAATTAAACTTAAAAGGTTTTGCACAGCAAAAGAAACTATAAACAAGGTGAAAAGACAACCCTCAGAATGGAAGGAAATATAACAAATGAAACTGACAAAGGATTAGTTTTCAAAATATACAAGCAGCTCATACAACTCAATAGCAGAAAAACAATCAACCCAATCAAAAAGTGGGCAAAAGACATCCAGATGGCTAATAAATACATAAAAAAGATGCTCAACATCATTATTAGAGAAATGCAAGTCAAAACTACAATGAGATATCACCTCACACCTGTCAGAATGGCCATTATCAAAAAATTTACAAACAACAAGTGCTGGAAAGGGTGTGGAGAAAACGGAACCCTCTTGTACCGTTGGTACTCTTGATGAAAGAGAAAGAGGAGAGTGAAAAAGCTGGTTAAAAGCTCAACATTCAGAAAACTAAGATCATGGCATCTGGACACATCACTTCATGGCAAATAGATGGGGAAACAGCGGAAACAGTGGCTGACTTTATTTTTCTGGGCTCCAAAATCACTGCAGGTGGTGACTGCAGCCATGAAATTAAAAGACACTTACTCCTAGGAAAGTTATAACCAACCTAGACAGCATATTAAAAAGCAGAGACATTACTTTGTCAACAAAGGTCTGTCTAGTCAAGGCTATGGTTTTTCCAGCGGTCATGTGTAGATGTGAGAGTTGGACTATAAAGAAAGTTGAGCATTGAAGAATTGATACTTTTGAACTGTGGTGTTGGAGAAGACTCTTGAGAGCCCTTTGGACTGCAAGGAGATCCAACTAGTCCATCCTGAAGGAGATCAGTCCTGGGTGTTCATTGGCAGGACTGATTTTGAAGCTGAAACTCCAATACTTTCGCTATCTGATGCAAAGAGCTGACTCATTTGAAAAGGCCCTGATGCTGGGAAAGATTGAGGGCAGAAGAAGGGGATGACAGAGGATGAGATGGTTGGATGGCATCACCGACTCAATGCACATGGGTTTGGGTGAACTCGGAGTTGGTGATGGACAGGGAGGCCTGGCGTGCTTCCGATTCATGGGGTCGCAAAGAGTCGGACATGACTGAGTGAATGAACTGAACTCAACTGTACTGTTGGTTGGAATGTAAATTGATACAGCCACTATGGAAGACAATATGGAGATTCCTTAAAAAACTATGAATAAAACTATCATGGGCTTCCCTGGTAGCTCAGCTGGTAAAGAATCTGCCTGCAATGCAGGAGACCCGGTTCAATTCCTGGGTTGGGAAGATCTCCTAGAGAAGGGATAGTCTACCCACTCCAGTACTATGGGGCTTCCCTGGTGGCTCAGCTGGTAAAGAATCTGTCTGCAATGCGGGAGATCTGGGTTTGATCCCTGGGTTGGGAAGATCAGCTGGAGAAGGGAACTACCCACTCCAGTATGTCCATGAAGTCAGTATGGAGATTCCTTAAAAAACTATGAATAAAACTATCATACAACCCAGCAATACCATTACTAGGCATATACCCTGAGGAAACCATAATTGAAAAAGATACATGTACACTAGTGTTTATTGCAGCACTATTTACAACAGCTAGGACATGGAAGCAACCAAGATGTCCACAGAAAAATGAATGGATAAAGAAGCTGTGGTGTATATATACACAATGGAATATTACTCATCCATAAAAAGGAACACATTTGAGTCAATTTGAATTAGGTGGATGAACCTAGAGCATATTATATAGAGTGAAGAAAGTCAGAAAAACAAATATCATATGTTAACACAAATATATGGAACCTAGAAAAATGGTACTGATGAACCGATTTGCAGAGCAGCAATGGAGACACAGAGAACAGACTTATGGACATGGGCAGGGGGGCGGAGAAGGAGAGGGTGGGATGAATGGAGAGAGTAGCATAGAAACATATACACTACCATATGTAAAACAGATAGCCAATGAAAATTTGCTATGACTCAGGGAACCCAAACCCCCTATAGCAATCTAGAGGGGTGGGAAGGGGTGGGAGGTGGGAGGGAGGTTCAAGAGGGAGGGGACATATGTATACCTATGGCTAATTCATGTTGATATATGGCAAAAACCAACACAGTATTCCTGAAACTCCAATACTTTGGCCACTTGATGTGAAGAACTGATTCACTGGAAAAGACCCTGATGCTGGGAAAGACTGAAGGTGAGAGAAGGGGATGACAGAAGATGAGATGGTTGGATGGCATCACCAACTCAATGGACATGAGTTCAGTAAGCTCCAGGAGTTGGTGATGGACAGGTAGGCCTGCATGCTGCAGTCCATGGGGTTGCAAAGAGTTGGACACGACTGAATGACTGAACTGAACTGAAAAATAAATAATTTTTTTCAAAAGCTACAGATATAATTTTATGGATGTTAAGTCATGTTGAACATACTATAAGGACTAGGATGAGGCACAGAAAAATATAAACTGTTGATTAAAGTGGTAAGAGGAGACAATTTTGTTCTTATATTGAATATTTTGTGATGATTCACTTGACGGTTTAATTTTTTATAAATGTTGATATGAGACTTAGAGCTAGCAAACAAGCAAGGAAGAAAACAAACAGCTATAAAAGCACTCTCAAACCACAGCAAACTAGGGCTTGGTTTTTTAGCCAAAATCCAATTCTCACCAGACCATTCACCCTTGATTCTGCCACCCACACCCACCTCTGCCAGTTTGTTGAAGCCCTGTGAGTGGCCCTCCTGCCGCTCCACTTGGCACTTCTTGGCATAGCGACGGTTCCCATCCATTATAAACGCAATGTGTTTGGGCATGGGGCCTGCCTGTGAGGTAAGAAGACAAATGGACACATCACATAATACTCAGAGATAAAAGGAGACAATATGCCAAGCTGATAGGCTTGAGTTATATGATAAAAGTCCTGAGGAAGGGAATTGAGTATTCTGTACTTTTTTGCTCAATACATAAGCATTAAGCACTTCTATTTATTTTTATTTATGTGTTTATTGAGCACTTACTACATGTCAAATACTATGCTGGATTTTTTATACTTCACCTTAGTTTTTTTTTTCATCATACACACATGTGAAGTAAATAGTATTATCTGCATTTTACACATGAGAAAACTGAGGCTCAGAGAGGTCAAGTGACCTGCACAAGTTACACAGCCAAGAAGAGACAAAGTGAGAATTCACACCGAGGTCTATGTGCTTTCAGAGTACATGTCTTAACCACATGCCCTTAACCACCAGATTGGTTTCATTAGCTTTCAACTGGAAGACATAGGAGGGATGGTGATGGATGTGGTCAAATGTAGAGGGCATCCTCCTCATAAAACAGGCATCCACTTCCATCTGAGTCCTGTCACACATGAATAGAGGCCTAAAATTGTTGGATCTTCTTATTTCACAAGAGAAGACACTCAAGATTTTTACAAAAATTTCAATGTCAGGAGACACTTCAAAACAAAAGGCATTTGGGAGGCAAACAAAACTTCTTATCTGGCTTAGTGCAGCCTTACGTTGTCCATCATAGCAAAAATTCACTCCTTGAACAATTTTCCCTCACTGGAGGGTTTCTTCATAGACCGCTTCCCCTGCAACTCTCTGACATTTTCTATTTTTGTCCCCTACATAGAGGCCTCCCCCCAAAAAAAATTCCAATAAAGTCATGAAGTTTGTTCTTCCCAACACAAGACTGCAGTGATTCCCTAAGGAGATGCTTTCCATTTCCTGCACTGTCTGAGATCACTTGGCATTTTTTGTGTGTGGGGAGGTGGGGTTCAAGGCTTACTCATAAATTCACTGCTACCTGCTGCTTGGCTGCCTGGGGCTGAAACCAAGCTGACTGGCTCCAATCTCAAACCTTTCATATGCAGAGGATATAACTTTGCTGTGATTCCTAGAGAAAAAGCTGAGGGACGATCTGGGGGAACCAAGGAGAGTGTAGGAAACAGAGTGATTATAGTCTTCAAATAGCTAAAAGGCACCCCCAACAATAGTAATTAAAAACTGCTAGACACTGTGGTGAGTGCTTTCTATGTAGTTTCATCTAATCCTCAACTCAAAACCACCATATAAAGCCACATGGTTAGTACATGACAGAATAGGACTTTCATTCATAGTTGTCTGCCTCCAGATCCCAAACTCTTAACCATTATGTTCTACTATCACATCAAAGCAAGATTAGTTATTTTATCTAAACCCAGAGGACAGTACTAGGAATAACCGATCAAAGTTCTACAGAAACAAATTTCAGGAAGACCTAACAGCCCGTACTGCCCAGTGATACCGGGAGGCCCTAGGTTTCCTGAAAACGCGGGAGTTAGGACAGTAATTTGCCAGAAACGTAGTCTTGCAATTCTAAGAATCTTTCACACCACTGTTAAATTTTATTACAAATCCATAAACGTCAGGGATTACTCAACTTTAATAACAGGTTTTGATATAAGATTACCCAACAAACCAAAAGGCCAGCTGGTGCTGTGGGCCACTGCTCACCTTTATGATATTGGCACAGAACCGCTCCCAAAACGACAGCTCTCCTTCTTTGACCCATGACATAATTCTTGCCCCGGAGAAGCAGCCCAGAACGATTAGACACCAACCAGGTAACTGTATAAACAAGAAAGAGAATCAGAAGTCACCACGCCGGCAAACAACTACCTTTGACTTGCAACTACACCAAAAACGGTAGAGAGCAGCCAGCATTAGAACCCAAAGGCATTAGAACCCTAAGCCTCTAGTCTTTCTCTACCCAGACTTATAAGACAACAGGACTTTGAGGGCAGAGGCCTTTTCTTGGCTCCACGGGCTTGGTGGAGCTTGCTGCTATTCCCTTCTCCCTCAGTGTCTGCACCGCCTTTTTCTGAACATCTATTGAAAACGTCAGCTTCCTGTTACATCGTAGCGCCTACATCCTGATCCTTCCCCCTTCTTCCTTTTCCATCCTCCCCTAGGCAGCTTCCGACTTTCGATGCCCCAGGTCGACAACCCTTTCAGCTACTGCACCCGTTACCTCCTAGCCTAGAGCTTTCCCAATTATTTACTCTCTCACTGTCTCTTCCACTGTCCCTTTTGCCAGTCCCACAGCTGCCTCTCGCCCAGTCAATCCCTCTCCTCCAGTCCACCCCACCCTGAATCCAGCACCTTGACAAGCTCCGCCAGCGCCTTCCAACTGCTCCAGTGGACCGACACTTCATCACGACGTGGCGCTGGAAGAACACGTCATCGTTGGGCGCTGGGGCACGCCTCTCCCGTCACCTAAGGGGTGGAGCCCTGGCCTGCGCTTGCGCGCTTGGAGGAAGAGGGGCGACGAGGCGAGCGTACTCGACCTTTCGAACGCCTGGGGGCGGGGCGGGTTGAAGCGAATGCGAGAGCTGGGCTTTCGGGACGCGGTGAGGGCGTGAGACTCGGCTCCGGGCCAAATGTCGGGGACTTTGCTGGGGAAGGCGGGGTCCAGACCACCTGGGAGAGCCGCTAAGTCTGTAGACCATCCGGTTACAGGACAGGAATCAGGAGCTAGGGGAGCCTCATCTCAGAAATGCCGGGACTTCTCAGCCGCTAGCAGCAGATTAGGACTGCTGAGAAAAAGGGGTAAGGCTGTGTTCTGCTAACTATAAGGCTGCAGAATTGGCTTTAGAGCTGATACAAGTCTTAAAAAGCCTGTGTTTACACCGTTGTGTCTTATTTAGTGGATTTAATCGTTTGCGAAGTTCCTGGCTCTCGTTAGTCTCACAAGACTTAACCTCAGTCCATTTTGTGCTGCCTTAAGGCACACACATTTTAGGGTTTGCATTCGCAGGACCTACCCAAGGAACTCAGAAAAAGGATTAAGGTCAGAAAGAACTCTGCTTAAAATGGCTTCTAAACTATAAGGCCATCAACTAACCCTGACAGAAAAATCGGGGGTATTCTTTCTGTATCAAACCTTTAACGAAAAGGGCTGCAGGAATTCGAGTTACTAACTCACAAAAGAAATTGGGAGTTTTCTCAAAATTAAAGATGGGGGGAAAACAAAAACTACCATTTTCAAAGAACCTTCCTGTTTCTAATTTTCGATTCCAGTGTCATCAAAGAAACGAGAGAGATACTGCAGTCATAACTCCCAATTCATTACTTTGTCTTTCACTTTATGATGAAAGGATTATTTTTGAGTGAAATGATCAAAGCCCTCTAAAGATGAAATTTCTTAAGCTTTTCCATCCTTCCTGCTTGGCATCTAGGTTGCCTATCTGATTACTTCAATTTTGCAGGAAAACCATTTACTGAAATCCAGTAGTTTGCTGCTTTTAACATCTTCCAACCCGCTTTGACTTTTGGTCAAGTCCCTGGAGTGTTTAGTTGCTCAGTTGTGTCTGACTCTGCAGCCCCATGGACTGTAGCCCGCCAGGAGCCTCAGATTTCCCAGGCAATACTGGAGTTGCCATTTCCTTCTCTAGGGGATCTTCTTGATACAGGGATCGAACCATCATCTCCTACATTGCAGAATTCTTTACCAGTGAGCCACCAGGGAAACTTCTTACCCTTGTTTTTGTTAATGGTTTCTTGCCCTTTGTGTGACAGTTGGTATGCTTCCAATCAAGTAAACCCTCTTTTTTATGGGGGGAGCTAGATGTTAAGAAATAGAAGGCTAGCGAACTTGTTAACATGTGTTTGTAACTAGTCAGTGTATCTCCTCTGGCCTCACTTTCCCCAGTTTCCAGTATTTCCCTCCCTGGGTTGCTACAGGGGGTTAATTAATTAAGATTTGTAAAGGGCTTTGAGGAGCAAGGGACAAAGTATTACTAGGGTCTCATGCCCCAAGCCATGGCCCCATCCTTTCATCCCAGCCAGTGGCACAGGCAACCCCATTCTTATGCATGCCAAGCCCTTAATCCCCTCTTGAATGTGGCAGCTTCCAAGGAAAGGACAAGAGGCCTTAACTAGAAACAAAAATCCACTGTAATGAGGTGCTAAAAAGACTGAACTTTCAAGATTCACTCCTAAGAAAATGGCTGAACCGAAAATTTAATGGTTCTTCTCATGACTTCTGAGTCCCAATCCAAGAAGGTGGAAATAACGGTAGGAGGAAGGCGCCTTAAATATCAACCAAGATGACAGTTTCAGTACCAATAAGTTTTTATTTATTGTATATTCCCAAGGAAAAGAAAGGGAAGGGAAAAGGGTCAGCGTGTGTGTTACAAAATGATAGCAAATGGGAAAGGAAGTACCTGGCACAGCAAAATCAGCCATCAAATAAACACTGCCCAGATGGGGTCGCCAAAGCCCAAGGGGCTCTGTCTCCTGCCGTTCAGGAATGAGGAAAAGAACAGATGGGTACATGCTTTTCTACCCTCCCTCCCTCCCCATAAATTCAAGATTTCATACAAAGCTTTGGTTTCTAGCAGTAAACATGGAGTTACATTCGTCCGTCTGCTATTAAACAATTTTGGCTACTTTGACATAAGTTTCGTGCACCTACATAAAAGTTCCTGAGTGACTTGGATATACATTCATCCTTCCTTTCGTGGTCTCCCAGCCCCACCTTCTACATGGAAGGCCCCCTTCGTTGCTCCTCTCTACCCTTGGATTAGAAATTAAAGTTGGTCTTGATCCATCCAAATACAGCAGTCCGTGTAGCATGAATCACATCAAGGAATGGACGTGACTCGAGACTGGGAACAAGGGATAGAGAGATCTTAGCTTCTTCAGGATTTTTGCACAAATCACTTAATCACAGATACCCCACAAATTAAATGTATAGGTATATGGTCTATTTTGGGGGGCACAAACGTGGAAGAGAAGGAGGTAGGAATCTAGTTTTTAGGACAGATCTTGTTTGAAATAGTAAATAGAGGAAGGGGAACACAAAAGAAAGTGTAGTTCAAGACCCCCCCCCCCAACTTCAAGAAGAGGGGCCCCCAAGCTTATGTTTCAGATCTTTTTGCCTGGTGCAGAACATTTTGTCAAAGATGCTTTGGCTATTTTTCTCAATATAAAAAGAAGTTTGTAAACAATAAAACCCCAAAAGAACATGGAGAAGACCAACACATATTTACACAAACTAGGCCACCTAGCAATCACCAAATCAGCTACTTGTGAAGTCCTACAAAGCCCAGACAAATATAACTAGAGGGGGGCAGCAGTTGGGAGAGACAAGGATCAGACACACATCACCCAATGTGTTCTATTGCATTTGCCCCGTGACAACACAGTGAGGTAGGTCTGCAGTGATCTCACAGCTTGTAAATGCACACCCCCCCCCCCGACCCGCCACCGCCCTTTCTCCTTTAGCTGCCATGATACTAATCACTGCTGCAGCAGGGTAGGACCCTGGCTCTGGGAACCACAAAGAAGCCATTGCTGACGGTCTCTCCAGAAGCCAAGGAGGAAAAGCCCAGAATCGTTAAAGATCTTGTACTTGCTTCACATATCCATCCTTGGGCAGCTCAAGATGGGTACAGAGGCATTGTTCTTAAAAACCTCTCCTTACCAACTTCCATTTTTTTATAAAACACACACCCCCTGTTGTGCATGGTCAGCCTAGCCCAGTCAGGTGAAGGATGGATCTGGTATATAAAACGAGTCCTGGGATTATAGATCTGGAACAGGAATCCTTTATCACACATACAGATGACCTTTACCTAAATCTTGGCTTCCCCTCTCTGCACTTCTTACCTGGCCCAGCCTCTCCTAACCTCTCTGCACCACGTTTTCCTGTTCAGACCAATTTCCAATCTTTCAGTAGGAAGGAGACCAAGTCATGGGGCAACCCAGTTAAAACCTAGTCTCTCATGAAACGCTGAAGATGGAGGGGTTTCAAGAGGACACTATGGCAGAAGAGCCAGCTCTAATTGGCAAAAATGAGGTAGTTCAATAGGCTATACACTCCAAATAGTTGTTTTCTCTGATGATACAGCAACAAAAAGCATTCCTGCCGTGCAGACCTGGAGCTGCTGCTGACTTATCCCTGAGATTGCTCACGTACCTGAGAACACAGTGCAGGAATGAGGGCCTTAGATTAAAATACACAAAAATACAAAACCAGAATATTTATATTACGAAAAAAAAAAAAGTTAAAATGCACAAGATACGTCATTCGCACACAGCTAGTGCAGTTGGCATCCTGGAGAAAGTGGGACCCAAGGTACAGTCACCCAAGGCAGCAAATAAATAAAATTGAGTTGGCCCAGAATGGGGTGAGAGTGAGCTTAGAAGCAGCAAATCTGCAGCTCTTCCCTTGATCACCCCTTTATCTGTCATCATAATCCATTACTTGGGACAGTTCTTAGCATTCTGTCCCAAGAGGGGGTTATGAGGAGAGAAGACAAAAACCCTGCTACCCCCTGGAGATGTTTCCTCCCATGGAATGTGGTGGCTTGTTGGTTGGGTCCATCAATCTGTTCTTAATCTTTACATTCTGATATGGGAAATACTATTCCATATTCTTCTTTAAAACAACTTCCCTACCCAGGCCACTTTCAAAAGCTGGAGATTCTGGGGGTGGAGACTCATATAAAGCTTGCAGGGAGGGTTAACCCCCAAAGCCCTCATATGCATTTGGAAAGAGCTAATTGGAGTTTCTTTGCCTCACCCCTTCTTCCCACCAAGAGGGAAGAGGGGATGATGCTGTGGACTCCAGCCTTAGATATATGGCAGTGCCAGCTGCCCCCTACCCACCCTGTCCCCACTTTCTCCACTCTGCCGATTGATGCCTGCTCCTCAAAGCTTTCTGATCACAAAAGGATAGCCCCCACCCACTGTGGCTCAATTCTGAGCCTCTGGGAGCATGGCAGAGCTATGGATCTCTTCTTCCTCCTCCCGAAAGTAGGCTGGCTTTCCCTGGGAGCTGGGAGCTTGCTGGGCTTTCAGTGGGCACGAGGCTACCATATGGTTGATGCTCTGGCAGAAATGGCACTTCTTGGGCTGGGGTGGCAGTTTGCATTCCTTGGCATGATGGTCTAGACCTCCACAGTTGTAGCACCTAGCATCAAGCAAGATAGTCAAGTTGAGAGGAAGGCGTGAGAAGAGACCACAATGTTTCCTGAGTGAGGACCCCTGGGCTCTGGTTTTAGTTGTTACTTTGGACCCACTTCCCTTGCTGGAGACCAATTTCAGCACTTAGAAAAGGGGTATATGACTAGATATCTCTGAGTCATTTCCAGGCCTGTAATATCTAGATGGCAGCTTGAGATTCATGACAAATTGAAAATACCAAGAACGGAAATCCTGGACCCCAACTGAGAACTACCATACCCTTAAAAACAGTACCTCTCATTCATTAAAATAGAGAAGAAATTAAAGGGCCAGAATCTGTTTACACACAGAAAAGGAAAGAAACCAGTCATTTGGAGATGAGGTGAAGAAGCAACAGCTACAGATGTACTGTCTTGGCCTCACCACATACACTTTCACATCCATGGTCTCCTTTAGTTCTAAAATAGCATGTGAGGTTAGTATCACAATCCCCATTTAGCAATCAAAGCTAGAGCTCCCAGAAACTAATTACTTATCAAGTAGAAAAGTAGGTCATGAAGTACCTTCCATACATACCACCCTCTCTTTGCCTCCCACATCCAGATGTTGCCAGGGGCCACAGGCTTCACTTTATCTTTGGCATCTGGTCCAACCAAGAAAGGGAAAGCAAGAATGGAAGAGTGCTCATCATCCCTACCAACCCACAGAAGCTGCCTTCCAGTCCATACCTGTCTCCCTTTGATCTGCGTTTCTGCATATTCTTCCCTTTGGGCCGCCTTTCACTCCCAATACAGAACACCCCACCAGGGCCGGTGACTCGGATAGATTCCAGGCCCTTGGCAGACTTCTTAAAGGTGAACTCCACGGCCTCACCCTCCTTCAGACTCCGGAAGCCCTCCATGTGCAGCTTACTCTGGGGGAGAGAAGCATGGTAGATTTTAATGTTAGTCTTCATCATTACACCCAAAACCTGCATACACATGTTCCTCTAAGGATGGAAGAGTAAGGGTGTAACATTTCCATTTTATTGGTAGAGACACTGTGATTGGAGGAGTCACCATTAAAAATAAAAAATCTACGTTACATCAGGAACAATCACTGTGTAAACAGATGCCATAGCATTTTTGGCAGCTATTTTCATTGAAAGTTCTCAGTAAAATAGAACAGCAGAAAAAAATTGTTAATCATAGCATTTATAAGGAATCAACCAATGTAAAATTGTAAAATATAACATAACAGGCCTATACACTTAAAAGATGTCAGTCATGAAAGAAAAACCCCTACGAAGTAAAGAAACAGTGCCACACATACTTCTGACTGGCTCTTAGAACAGGAGAAAATATGAGGAGAACTGACAAAATTTGTGCATGGAATGTAGGCAAACATGTTAAGTTCCCTAATTTTGATCATTGTACCGAAGTTACCTAAGACAATAGCCATATTCTAGAAAAAAATGCTGAAATATTGTGAAGATTAAGATGCTTGAAATCTGTATAAGGGATAAAATAAACAATAAAGCAAATAGTACAAAATGTTAACAATTGATGTATCTGGGTAAAGGTTATATGGGAGTTCTTCATACTATTCTTGCAACCTTTTCCCAAATTTGAAATTATATCAAAACAATGTTACTGAAAGTTGAAGGGAAAAGACAGTATGATCCAAGCAGACAGATCAGTGGATTAGAAGAGAAAATCTACTGGAAGATCCAAAAATAAGTGCAGAAATCAGCAGGTAAGGAAAATATTTCCATAAATAGTACTATTGAGAAACCAGTTATTCACTAGGAAATGAAGCCAGAAATTTATACTTTACATCATATGTATGCAAAATATTTTGGAAGAATTAACAATCTAAATGTTAAGAGGAAAAAACTGGAACAGTTTTTTTTTTAATTACGACAGATAACTAAACTGATAAAACTATAAAAATTACTGTAAATCAATATGTAAAAAGACTCACAGAACAGAATAATTTGCAGGAGGACCTAGCATGACACATATATTCAATATCTCACTGGCTCAAAAAAACCCCCAAAAACAGAAAACAAAAATACCATAAAGCCATTCAAAAGAATGTAAAGTCTTTGCTTTGTTCACTGCTGCATTTTGACACCTAAATAATGCCTAGAACATTTTGGATGAATTAATGAACAAGTAGGCTTTAATTGTATAATTTGGGAAGATAATCCCAAGTTATTTAAAGGAAGAAAAAGACTTCAAATACTGTGTAGAATGATCTCACTAAAACACTGCTTGTTTGAACCAAAATTTAAAAGAAAAAAAGGAGTTAGTTGAGTGGCAACACCAGGGTCAGAAGAACCTAGAGTTCTGGATTGGATAGCCCATTTCACCTTGCCATTTTCTGCATCAATAACACATTAGTGGAATGATAGCCTCTCCTAGACCCTGCACAGAACAGACTTCATTATAGATACCTTCCAAAATATCCAAAGAACATGTCAAATATGTCAACAAGGTGTAGTCCTTGTTGAAAATGCGGTTCAGAAGCAAAAGGGATCACCATGTACCTAGTCCTGGTTTGAGGCCTTTTATGCTGTTGCTGGTGGGGGTGGGGCGAGGTGGCTATTTCAAATTGGGACTTAGATGAAACATGCTCTTTTGCCAGATGGGATCCCCAATTCCTTAGTCACTTACATTTTTCTTTTAATTTAGATGATACTGCTTAAGACAAAACTTCTTCCACTGAGGTAATTAAAAGCATAGGCTCAGGTGTCAGATACATCCTGGTTCCTGAAATGCTGATTCCACCAATTTCTGGCATTGTGTTTGATCTTGGTGGGTTACCCACCTCTGGGCCTCAGATCTTTCAGACAACGGGATAACAATAGCTATTTACCTAAAGTTTTAATGAAGATTAGGCAGGCAGGACATATGTTCAATAAATATCAATGAATGAAATATTCCAAAGGTTTGGGATCCTCTCCCTTCTTATTCGCATAGAACAGACAGGGTTGTGATGACTCCCTCCCTCCCCCTAATCTGAATGTGGAGCATTAAAGCAGAACATTAAAACATTTCAGAAAGGTGAAAATTCTTTCCTCCTCCCAGTTGCATAACCACCGCCCTGAATTTGATGTTAAATCTGACGTGTCTCTTATTGAGCTGGGACAAGCCAGTGAGTCAGGAGATGCTGGAGGATCCAGACCAAGAGCATTCTTGACCCAGGTAAACTCAGCTTCTCCCATTTGCCTAGTGGGCTCTTAGGGTGGAACACTCCCAGTTTTCTGTGATTCAGCAGATAGATAAGTGATTAAGAGCAAAGGTTTAGAGTCCTGCAGCCTATCCCGGCTTTCTGTGTTAGCCTGCAAAATGGAGTAAGTACTAATTTTATGGTGGTGCTGTGAGGTTTTAAGCATGAAAAGTAGTTAACACATTGACTGCCACATATAAATCCCAACTTTTCAGACTGGATGAGGGTGGGGTAACAGTGAGAAAGAAGTGTCAAAGGACCCAGCATCTTAACCCTAGTTTTTATTGATAACTAGCAGCGGAAACTCAGAAAAATATCCCCTTTCTGTGCTCCAGTTTATTGAGCACCACAGTCTTCTGCATCTACACCTTCTAGGCTTAATGTGAGAAACAGAGGATAATATAAATGGGGACATTTGAAATTGACTAGTCCTCTTAGTTCACCTCTGTCACTGGAGGATTTGAGGTCAGCTTAAGACCATCGTTTCCTTTGAAAAGATAAAGGGGGAAAAAAAAATCCCTGTGGGCACCTCACCATAATCAGCCAAGATTTAGACTGGTGGTCTCCAGGGGTAGCTCCTAGGCTCCCTCCACCCCACCTCTTTCTAAAACACATAGTTTGAATTCCTCTCTTATCAGATAGGTAATCAGCGTGCAGCCCCACTGAGCCTGCCTCACAGGGTCTGCATCAGAAAGGAGCCTGAAATTCTTGCTACCACCCCCACCCCACCAACCACACACAAAGCAGGGCCTGGGCCCCGCCCCTCTCCATCCCCTCCAAAAAAGAAAAGACCTGGGGAGGGGGAGGGGCGAGGCCTGAGCTCCCCCAATAGAGCCCTGCTCCGGGAAACAAAGAGTTGACACTGGTTGGTTCTGGTGGTCAGATTCCTGGAGTTCCAGAGGATGCAGATTCCCCCTTGACTCCCCCCCCACCACACATTTACCACATTCACCAGTTCTTTCCTTCCTCTCCATGTAGGGGGTTATGGTCACGGTGAGAGGATTGGACACAGAGACACCTTTCTTCCCTAGTCAAGCTTGCTGGCCAGCCAAAGCCACCACCAGCAGCCATCTTTCCTTCTGACTTACCCTCCCACCCTTCCAGGGCCTCCAGTCAAACCTTTTTTTTTTTTTTTAAACTGAGGGGCCCAATTAGGGTTCTTTATTCAGATAAATTATATTATAGGTGGGAGGGCTGCCACCATCCCATCTTCCTTTCCCCTGCCTGTTCAACTAAACCCTCAGTTCTAGGTGCTTAGCAGTGCACAAACATTTGCAGACAAAAAAAAACCTAAGTTCTCTACTATCCAAAATGCCTAATATGTACTGATGCTTACTATAGGCTAAGCAGTTTTAAGCATGTCACATGATGTAACACATGTGACCTTCACACCAAGCTTTTTATCATGCCCCTTGCTGAATTCATGGAGGCAGAGGGGTTAAGCACCCTGCCCAAACTTATAGTGTGACAGCCCTGAGCTGACTTTGTATCCTGTGCTCTGCAATATAATGTAAGATGCATTGACATTTTAAAACTTTCTAAGAGTCACACTGAAAAAGTAAAAAGCAATTTAATTTTAATGAGTTAGTCCTAAGGTGTCCTCACAGTTCAACCCAAGCCTCACTTCTAAAGGTAGGGTTTGGTAGGAGGTAAGAAATCAGTGGGTTCTATCAGAAGCAGTTTGTCACGGAGAATGGGGAAAGAGATCCACCCAGAACCAAGGGCTGCCAGCATACACCCCCTTACACATCCCTTTGGCTCTGACACAGCCAGGACCACCAGTTCCTGCCTGGAGTTCTCCACCAGATGGTGCTGCTGTCAGCCTGTCTGCGCCCAGGTAGCCGAGGGAGTCTGGAGCAGAAGAGAGGAAGGAGCCAGTGTTCTCAACTCTGCACCCAAGAGTTCACCTAGATTGATCTTCCCAGCTCCTTAGGACAGGCATCTTCTCTGTGGTCCTCAGGAAGATGGAGTCACAAGGGGACTGAACTCCACCCAGGGTAGGTCCGATAAAGATGGGGCTGTTCCCTCCCCACCACCCCCACTCAAGAAGTGAGGAAAAGTTCCTGGAGTTTTTAACCAGAAGCCCAGTTGTTGTTCTGCTCTATTGACAAAAGCCATCTTACTCTCTTTGCCAATCTGAATTAAAGAACTCCAAGTTGAGTCTGTACTAATTGCATACTATTCTGGAAAGTTTTCCCCACCTTTTCCTTCACCTCCTTCGACCTTCCAGATTTAACACTGATAGTAATTGCTATTCTTGCCTGCAGGAAGAAGGGAGAGGTGATGTGCCTCAGGCTGTTGCTTAAAAAAAAAAAAAGAAACCCACCAAGGAATTCCCATAGGCTGAGTTTGATACTTTTGATAGTTGGATTAGGAATGTTCCAGCAACAACCTTGCCCTGTAGAAAAATCACTGAAAACCACGTACAAGGCAAGCAGTGCCACTAACCACAAGCTTTGCTCTGGATGGTGGCACAGCCTTTACTTGGAACACTGCCTAGAAAGTATGTCTCTTCACAAACAGGACTCAAGATCTCGTAATGCTCAAAGTAACTCACATGCTTTTCTGCTAACTTCCTGAAAAAATCCACTCATTTAAAAAATTCTTTCTGGAGGAGTGGGAGGAAAACAAAACACTTTCCTTTCCCGATGGTCCAGTGCTTAAGACTCCTCACTTCTACTGTAAGGAATTTGGATTCGATCCCTGGTCAGGGAACTAAGTCATGCTTCCTGGCCTAATTAATTAATTGAAAATAAAATAATAACCTTTTTAAAATTCCCTATTAAGATGGAAAAGAAATAACTAATGAATAACTAACTTCAACCCATGGCTTCCATATCCTCTTCTGGAGCTGTGGTCAGCTGGAGTGGATCAGCTGTGATCCACTACCACTCCACAAATTTTCATGGTGTTTCTACTGAGTACCAAGCCCTCTTCAGGCCCTGGTCCAGATAGACAGCGACTATCAGTTCACATTCCCTCCCTATCTCCAAGCTTTTGGTCTGGAGGAAGACCTGCTGACAAGGACCCCCAACTGTGAGCGTACTCTTGATTTCTCAGGGGCCCCTTCATTCCTCATACTCATATCTTCAGCCCACCAAGTGCATACTAGAAAATTAACCAGACTACTAGTCCCTCTCTTCAAAGAGTTCAGGTTAGAGGAAGAGTTAAGACATCAGTACCTGAACATAAGGAGGGTAATCAGAGGCACTAGTAAGGTTATAAACCGGGTAGGAAACATCCCTTACATTCTCCCTGCCCCCAAACCTGAGTCTTAATCTAGACCGGACTGAAGTTGCTCTCACCACCCCCACTCATCCTTTTCAGAGAAAGCAGGCCACGTGGCATCAGAAGTTTCTTGGTACTGGAAATTTCTTCTCTTAACCCAAGCTTGGTGCCTCAGTCAAATTTGGGCTCTTTTGCCTCCAAGCATTCTAGCCAGCATTTTAGCCAGAAAGCTGTTTTAAACAGATTTGAGTTCCAAAGAGCTGTGGGAGAAAAAAGGGGACCTTTTCCTGATTTTCAAATTTTGCACATCTGGGGGGGTTGGGAGTTGAGCCACAGGAAACAGGAGGTTTCTGTTAAAATGCCCAAAACCTTTTAAATGGCCATGGAGAGTTGAGAATTCTTAGTCCTCAGGCAACCCCTAGTTAGCTCTTTCTTACTCCACCTTTTGATGTATTAACTGTTTCTCAACTGGGGGTGAGTTTGTCTCCCAGCGGGGGCATTTGGCAATGTCTGGAGATTGTTTTGGTTGTCACAACTGAGGGATGCCCAGAATGAGAAGTTATCTTGCTTGAAATATGTCAGTGGTGCAGAGATTGAGAAACCGGGATTTAAGGGCTAGCTAGCTGCCATCATGATCATTCTTAAATTCCTCCAAATTCAGGGACAGCAAGTGAGTTCTAGCCTAAAACCTGTGTGTGAGTACCAGGGTTGATACAGAAGTCTTTTCACTTTATGGGTTTTATTTACTCATCTTTTTTTAAGGCTAACGGTAGGCTTTCTTTCCTACATATCCACCCCTATTGGGCACTGAGGGTTGGACAGGGAGCACAGGAACAGTGACCAGTGTGTTGGGAACCAAAAAGGCCCAACCTTAGAAATGTCTAATTGTGTCCATCCCCACCCCCACCCCCCGCCACCGTTTCCTTAGGAAAGGGGCTCCCTGATCCCCTCCCCTAGCAGATGTTATCTTAGGACAGTTACCCTGCCCACCACCCACACCTACAGTTCCAAGGTACCCACCACAAGCAGCTAAAGGGGAAGTTTAACTGTTAAAGGGAAATGTCTTACTTTCTTTCCATTTTGGGAACACTCTCCTGCCCTGGGAAAATTTCTAAGGATTGATCTGCATCCACCTAATTCCTCTACATTAGATCCCCAGGGAGATATTTCAGATTTCTCAAGTGCAGGACTGGAATCACTATTTTAAGTGTACAGTAGGGTTTGAGGATCAACCTAAGCCCCAGCAGTGTGAAGACAGAGCTTCCAGGTATAAAGCTCAGGGAATTTCCACCAGTGTCCTCTGTGACTGTTAGTAGGGGGTATAAGGGAGACAAAGTCTTCATTCCTTATCCCACCTCAACTCCTCCTGATAACTTATTTGACTGTGGAATGTCCCTGGACATTCCAACACCCCAAGTCCAGGTTCTCTCCCAGCAAACCCATCTGAAACAGCATGGTGTAGGCTCCACTCCCCAAACCTGAAGGCTAGTCCCCATTTTCTTTTATTCCATCCCGTATTTCCAACTGCTGAGGCACAGATCCATTTTCTCAGGAAAACCTTCCTTGGGAGTTGGATATCACCAAAGAACCTCAGAGGGACTAACTTCCCCTCAGTCTTTCCCTATGTGGCAACCTTTCGAAGGGAGGTAAGAAAATGTTGGGTCTGACTCTTTCATTCCAAGCTTTCCAAAGTTGGTGAAGGTGTCCAGTTGTCTCCAGGCTGGGAGAGATTTTAATCTCTTTGTGATCAGATAAATGGGGAGCTGGCCACCCCGCTGAGGAGGGCCTTTCAAAGCTGGTTCCTGTAATAAAGTGATTTAATAGATCTAAAGAGGCCAATTCCCTTCTTTCTCCCACAATTACTTCCTGTGGGTTATCATTCACATATGTAAATGAGACAGGGAGGGGGGCTAGCCACCAGCCAGAATTAGTTGTTCGAAGGGAAGAGGGTAAAGCTGGGGGTGGAGGAAGCAGGGAAAGCCAGGGGGCAGCCAAGCATTCTGCAGCCGACCCTTCTGGCAGATATTCTAGGAGCCCAGTGACCCCAGCGTTAACTGGTGGATCCCCATCTCCCTGCGTCCTCTCTCTCCCTTGCTTCCCCCATTCAGCATCCTCACTGAGGGCCATGTGGGGACTTCCCCGCTGTTTCCCTCCAACCAGTCTACCCAGCATCTCCCCTCTCCACCCCTCCCCCTCCAGAATACCATCCCTCAGGCTCCAACCCTTAATCCCCACATCCTCCTTTCCCCTCCCCCACTGCTCCTAAAGCCAACCTCCCCGAAGTAACCCCTCCATGCCCGGCCTGGGTGTCAACCTCTGGGGTCTGGGATTAGCAATTTCTTCTCAGGTTCAGCCCCAAACCTCCAAAGGTGGAGGGGAACACAAGCAACAATTTCCTAAACATGGTGGTTACGTGAGGCTTCGGAGATACTCAGGAAGGGGTGGCCAGGGAGGAAGGTAGACGAAGTCTCTGGTTCCTTGTTTGAGGCAGGGAATGTTAGGACGGCAATCAGTGGCTGTCTGGGGCCATAAATGCCAAGCTGAGGAGAACAGGTCTTGAGGCTAGCCTCTCTCCACCCCCTGCCCTGCGACACTGAATTTCACCCCCCACCCCCCGCCCCTGTGGTGCCTCGCTTTAGCTGAGAACTTGGGGTTGCGACCTAACTCCCTCCCAGGCTGGCCCAGGAGTCGAAGGCCTGGTTCTTCACATTTTCTTTCCTAATAGGAAATAGTAAGAGCCCCCCTAGTGATCCATGTGCCTCAGACTGCTCTCGAGGAACTTCCATGCCCCTCAAATAGATCCTTCAAGGATCTGCCAAACCCATCCAGAACCCCAGGGCTTGAGTTTTGGGTGACCACCTGGGTGAGGGGACCCGGCAGACTTCTCAGCTTTCCGCCGTTGGGTCCTGAAGCCGTTTCCCTGCCTTCCTGAAGGCCGGGAGCTCGATTCACAAGACACCGAAACGCGCGGGCGCTCAGGGTTCTGCTCTGACCCGGCATGTGCTTCCCTGGCCGGCCTGCTCGCCCTCCCCCCACTGGCAAGCACAATACAACCTTAGTTCTGCCACATGCATCACCTCCCTGCCCCCTGCCCCTGCCCAGGGTAAAGAGGTAACAGACACGTGGTAAACCAGAGGGGTTCCCGGAAGGGGGTGGGGGTGTTAATCATCAGCTCTTCCCCCACTCTCGTCCCGTTGAGTTAACAGGGACTCAGACTGGGGTGCCACTGCAAAGACGGGAACGCACAATAAGGGCCCTGGGTCTCCCCTCAATCCAACAGCCGAGTCCGTCCGCCCACCCTCGGACACGCGCGCCAACATCCCGTTCCTGCGGCAAAGTTACCAGAATCGCTCTCACCTGGTGCACAAAGACATCCACCGGGGGGTCGAGCGCGACCCCTGCGCGGGCGGTCATGGACAGGAAGCCGAACCCCATGCGCACGTTGAACCACTTACAGATGCCGGCACCGTGCAGCAGCTGCGGCTCCTCCGCCGCGCGGGCCGCGTCCTCCGGCGCCTCCTCCGGCGCCTTGGCGCAGCCACCTGGAGATTGGGAAGGCGCTTAGCTGGGGGGCCACGGAATTGGAGGACCCCCATCAGAGAGCCGGCAAGGAGACCCGAGGGTCCCAGCCCGCGGGTGGACACCCAGGAGGCTGCAGCTACCGAGCAGCCGGCGAGAAAATACCTGTCCCGGCCGCCTCCCGCGCTCCCCCAGCTTAAACTGAGGCCAGCGGTGCCCCGAAAGTTTTGCTTTTCTTCCCATAACTCGTTGCCCGGGGACATGCGGCCAGACAGGCCCCTCCTCTTCTCTCCCCCCGCCCCCGGACCTTCAGCTTGCTCGCCACTGGGACACCAGGGTTCCTGGCTCCAGAGATGGCCCCCAGAAGCAGGAGGCCGCACAGACTTGGGGTCCTTGGGCTAGCCTGGGGGACACTTCCCCACCTATCTTTCATGTGGCTTCGGGGCGCCCCTGCCGCCTAAGGTGTCCCTAGTAAGTCCCGAGGTCGAACCTGCGAACTGCTGGTTTGACACAGAGCCCATGGTAGTCGGCTGAGCCCGCGGCCCCGGGCCCCTGCTTGGGCGGCTGCTGGCCCCAGAGAAGTCCGGAGGCAAAGGGGTGGCTCGGGGAAGAGGCAGCTACATCTTCCCCAGCACAATAGCGGTGGGAGGGCCCACGGCTTTTCAAAGGCTCCCAAATTCTAAAAGACAATGACCCAACCCCCCGCGGGCAGCCCCCCTCCCCTCCCTTCCCCTCCCCTCCCTGGCCTTTCCCCTCCCTTTCCCTCCAGCTCCAGCTCCGGCCCTCCCCCACCACGGAGGTCTCTGACACCTCTGGGGTGTCCCTTCTCAGAACCTAGAGGTTTGACGCCTCCTGCCCATACGCACATCTGGAGATTGGGGCCGTCAACCCTACAAGTCTTGAGTACCCGTGAATTTGGGATCCTGCACTTTAAGGAGTCGGCGGGGGTCCCCAAAGCAACATACAGGTGGGGGGCATGTGGGGGGGCAGTTTTAAAGCCACGTGATTGCTCACACACACACACACACACACACACACACACACACTTATACACCAACCCCACCCCCCTTTGCAGATAATTATACATTCCAGAGAGTTGGGGGGGGGGGAGGTGTGAGCCTGGCAGCGCTGGCCAATCAGAGACACAAACCACCTGTCAAGAGAGAAATGGATGAGCCCTCCCCCTCCCCCCGCCCTGGAGCGCCCCTCCCCCTCCCTTCCCCTTCAGGCCTCCGAGCTGACCCGGCAGCTCGGCGCTGACCCGCTCTCACCCCCCACCCCCGTGTGCTTAGATAGACCTGGAGTTGAGGACACTGGGAAGCCTGGGATGGGGAAGCAGGGGGGAGGTGGGAGACCCAGCGGGGCCGATCTCCACTCCTGACCTAGGCGCGGCCTCTCAAAGTCTGTCTCTGACTAACTGAATGTCTCTGAGTTTCCCACCGAGTTTCTCTCGATCTCTCAAAGCGCTCCCAATTAATTCCGTGTAAAGAATTCTTCCTCGTTTCCTTCGGAATCTGTCTAACACTGACCCACGTGGAGTTTGCTGAGAACAGAAGAAGGAACACAAAGAGGCTTGAAGTGTGTTCCTCTCTCCACCAGCTGACCTCATCCTGCCCCCATGGCCATCCCATCTTCATCCGTGGTTGGGACCCCGACACTTTTAGTTTCCCTGGAGCTCCACGCTTCAGAGTCCTGTCCTAAAGTGCGCTCCCTTCCCCACAGTGAGGTTGGTGGGGGCATTGGAGTAGGGGCTCTCCTCATTTGAGGAGTTAGCCTCCCCTGGTAGGAGATAAAGAGGCTTGGCCAGGGGGGTGGCTAGTGCCCTGGTCGGAGATGGACAATGGCCCGGGGCTCAGTGCACGGCCCTGGCCCTGCCCCTTCACTTCCGGTGCTCAGTTCGAACTGGACAATGCCAGCTCCGGCCAGTTCCCCTCCCCCACTGCTACAACCCACTTAAAGGGACAGAGCCTGCTTTCGGGGGCATCCGCTCACTGGCAATTCAGTCGTCTCCACCAAGTGTGCAGAAACCTCTCGTGCTCCTGCGCCCGCCCGGGTGTGTGTGTGTGTGTGTGTGTACGCGCGGGCGCGTGTGAAATTGAGAAATAGAGAACAGGGATGAGTGGGGGTAGGAAAGGGGAAGATGAGGAGGAGAGCAAGGGGCTGTTGAGAGATTATTTCTCTCTCCTATCAAGAGTGATCTCCGAGGCACTAAAACTTCAGTGTAAGAAATGGGGGATAGGAAGTTGGGATAAAATGAACAACTGTGGCCCTCAGCCTAAAAAATACAAATTATTAACAAATATCACTAACAATGCTACAGTCCCAACTGAAGACTCTTAATTTAGATCTTCCCAGAGTCGTGCGAGTACATCAGCCGAAACTATTTTTTATTTATATAATCCTCCCCACCTAAGCATTATCTCCTCCCCTTACTAGAGCCCTTAAATGTACCCACTCTCTGTATCTCTCTTCCTAAGATTCAGGAGCAGGTGACTAAGGTCTGGCTGAAGAAAAGAGGGGATAAGAGAATTTAGTACTCTGTTTTCCGTTGGTCTGCTATCAAGTCAGACGTTCCAGGAAGGCGCTACTAGCTTCACTGTCCAGGGTCCTGAGGGCGGCGGGAGCTCTGTCCACGGTGCTGAATAAAGACCCGCTCTCCTGGTTCCCACTCACAGTTTTGAGAATGCCTTCTTGAAATCTCACCCGCGCTCTTCCCAGAAAACCTGGTTCTTCTCAAACAGCCCCCACCCGCTCAGAGAGCCCGACACATTGGAGACAAATGAACAGACTTTCTTGCACTCTAAAGAGAGGGCATTTCCAGCCATACATGATTCTGTGAGAGTAGTGTAAGTATCTCAAACTCCTCTTCAGAAAAATGGTGCATGTAGCCACAGAGAGTGAAGAAAGAGGAGATAATATTTTTTAATTCACATAAAATAAGACTAGAGAGACTAATCTTTCTTTTTCATTATTATTTCTCTAATTAGTAGCACTTTTCATAGGAACACAGATGTTGGAATCAGATAATCTATGTTCGAACATCTAATTATAGCTCTGAAAACTGTATGCTTTCTATGCTTCAGTTTCCTCCTCTGCCTAATGGAGATAATGAAGATTTAACTCTCAGAGTTATCATGAGGATAAAGGTAGATTATGTAAGTAAAGCTTTTAAAAGTGTCTGACATATAGTTAGCCCTTAACAATGTAAATTATTACTATTATTATCATAACTATTATGCACATTTGTCTCTTTGTCCTAGAACCTGCTGGGTCATTTGATCCCTGAGAATTGGGGCCATTTGTGTGTTATTTCTTTCTGCTCCTTCTCTCACACACTTACCAGTACTTAGTACAGTGGCTGACCCACAGAAGACATCCAGTTTCCTGAGGGACTAACCTGGTGGTCCAGTGGTTAAGACTCAGCCTTCTAATGCAGGGGTTGTGGGTTCAATCCCTGGTCAGGGAACTGAGATCTCAATGCTGCACGGTGTGGCCAAAAATTAAAAATAAACAAGTCTTTAAAAAGAAGAGTTTCCTAAATAAGTTTTTTAATTTATTTTAATTGAAGTATGGTTGAATCACAACACGTGTTAATTATTGTTGCACAGCAAATGACTTATACATATATGTTATACATATATGTGCATTCTTTTTCATATTCTTTTCATTATGGTTTGTCACAGGATATTGAATATAGTTCCCTGTTCTAAACAGTGGGACTTTGTTGTTTATCCATTCTATATATACCAATCTGAATATTTTTTTAATTTATTTATTTTTAAATTGAAGGGTAACTGGTTTACAGAAATTTTTTGTTTTCTGCCAAATATCAACATGAATCAGCCACAGTCCCCTCCCTCTTGATGAATAGGCTTTGACTGAAATGATGAATGTTATTATACTAGTCATAATACTTATTCTTCTAGGCTGCCTCTCTCAAGTCTAAGAATTCAAACCCAGGAAGAATCAGGATCTCATGAAGTTGCATATGTGGAGGTAGAGGATGCTTTAGGAAGGGACACATGGCTCCCAACATAATTGACTCCTCATCCCCCCTGGGTTGTTTCCATGTGGGAGAGGAAGGCTCCTGACTTAACATTCTTCCTTTCTTGGGTCCTCATCTCAGTGAAAACTTATTAAGTAGCTACTATGATCCAGTCATTGTGCTAGCTCATACATTTGGTGGAGGAATTAGATACGTAATATGCACTAAGTAGGTTAATGACCAAAACTGTACCCCCACAAAGTAAAGAACAAAGATTTCCTACTATCCAAGAAGTTATAGTGTAGTTAGGGAGGCAAGACATGATATAGCTAAGTATTGCAAATTTCTTGTGTATTGGTTTCTGAGGATAATATTATCTGATAAGAGGGGGAAAGTGGAGCTCTTTAGCCTAGGCCAAAGTGTGTAGTATCAACACAAAGAGCGTGCGTGCATGCTTAGTCATTTCAGTCATGTACGACTCTCTGCAACCCTATGGACCATGACCTGCCAGGATCCTCTGTCCATAGGATTCTCCAGGCAAGAATACTGGAGTGGGTTGCCATTTCTTTCTCTAAACTCCTTTTGTAACTCTTCCTGAAAGCTCTGGTAGGAACACAGCTGGATCAGGGCTGTAAATAAAAAGGTATTACCAGAAAACCCAGAGTCCAAAGAGATTCTCAGCAGTCAGTCTATGCTGTGCTGGAGAAAACAGAAACAGAAGATCCCACCTGCTTAACAGTTTACTGTCAGCCCAGGGGGGTGCGGGTTCACCCACCTTCATCTACCACTCAGCATCAGCTCCCAAAGACAAAGAGCATCTCCCCTTTAAAGTACCTTGCTAAGTTCTTCTTGGGTAGGCTCGTATCTCCACAAAAGGAAGAGCTGAAAGAAGTCTTAGTAATAATAGTAACATCACCATTAAGTATATATATCTATACCTATTGAGCACTTCCCCCATGGCAGGTGTTGTTGTGTGCTGGGTAAATTACACAAACAAAAGCCCACCTTTGCTGAGCTTATATTCTGATAGGTAATAATAATAACAGCTATTATTTATCGAGGCACTTTTCTTATCTCATTCAAGCCTGTCAATAACTCTAAGTATTAATATTGCCACCTTATAGGAGAGGAAACAAGCCTAATGAATCAATTTAGCTTGGGTAATGTAACTCAGCTAATACTCAGCAGATGCAGATTTGAACCCATACATTTCATTCCAAAGCTCACATTTGTTCCACAGTTCCAGTATGTTGTTATCATGACTGGTACTGTCCCCATTTTACCAATGAGAAAGAAGCTATGTGCACACAAAAAGGCTGTAAGGAGAGACTGTATCTCGATATAATTAGCAAATAGAACCCAAGTTTGTGATTCCTCTTCCGGGGACCAGAGCTATAGTCTGTCGTTTATTGATTACCCTCCCCCAAACTCATTGACCATCTAAATCAAAGAGCTGACCAGAGCCAAAACAGGTCCTCTTTTGGGCAATAGTCCATATCCAGTTTGCATTTCTAAAGTGTTTTGAGAACCCTGTGG